CTATCTCTCTATCTCTCTATCTATCTATCTATCTATCTATCTATCTATCTCCTCTATCTATCTAACTATCTACCTCTCTCTATCTATCTATCTATCTATCTATCTATCTGTCTATCTGTCTATCTTTCTATCTGTCTATCTGTCTATCTGTCTATCTGTCTATCTATCTATCTATCTATCTATCCATCTATCTGTCTCTCTGTCTATCTGTCTATCTGTCTATCTGTCTATCTATCTACTATCCATCCATCCATCCATCCATCAATCCATCCATTCCTCCATCTGTCTGTCTATCTACCTACCTATCTACCTATCTATCCGTTTATCTATATACCTACCTATCTATCGATCTATCTATCGATCTATCTATCGATCTATCTATCGATCTATCTATCAATTTATCTATCTATCTATCTATCTATCGATCGATCTATCTATCTATCTATCTATCTATCTATCCGTCTATCTATATACCAAACTACCTATCTATCTTTCTGTCTATCTATTTATCTATCTATCTATCGATCTATCTATCTATCTATCTATCTATCTATCTATCCGTCTATCTATATACCAAACTACCTATCTATCTATCTGTCTATCTATTTACTTATCTATCTATCTATCTATCTATCTATCTATCCATCCACGTTTTATTCGTTTCCTGGCAGCGCTGGCTGGTGAAGATTGCCACCTGCTGTCTATGGTATGTTTATGTCTGTGGGTATGGTCCTTAAAGCCATTCCAGCTTCGAAGTGTGAGCGGTTGCAGGTGGTATGATCAAAACCCGCGCCGCTGCACAGTTCCTCGCAGGCATACATGCGAAGCAATAAACTGTTCCAGAAAGCGTCGTCGCGAGCTGGCCTTAGTCCTGCGACGTCCGTCAAGCCTGAATGGAGCTGAGATTTGAAGATGGGTGAGCTTGTGAGGACAAGTGGCTAACACCGGCAAAGGCTTCGAGAAGCCAGGGCCAGGCGAGTTGGCGGCATACGAGGAGGCGCGAAGCATCTTGGCGACTTCCGTGGCTGCCCCTGCTCAGCTTACAGGATCTTCAAGCCCATCTCGAGGGACTGAGGAAGAAGCTGGGCCTGCTTCTCAAACACCTACTAATTTCTGCAAGGCTGACAGGTCCGAGGACGGACACGCACGAGCCTGTCAACGTGAACACATTCATGTCGATTCGCTGCGGCTTCAGAAACAGCAGGCGTTTGAGTCCCCTCAGGCAGCGCTCCTATGAATGAGAGACGCGAAATCAGTGCGGATCTTACCGCATGCTGTGTGTTGGATGGGGCAGATGCTGCAAGACCCGGCAAGAGGCCTCAAATCCTCCGGTCCCGGCCAAGTCATCGGAACCAAGCTCAAGGCCGTGGCTGTGCGGTGCCGTGTTTCTGGTTTCCGGTCCTAGCTTTCTTGCCGCTGTTCAGGGCCTCAAGAAGAGAGCCGCTGAGCTTGAGAAGAAGCCGCGTTCAGTCATCAAAGGTGGCTTCTCAGCATCCAGCGAAAGAGATCGATCTTCAGAGTCTTTCGGTCTTCCGATCTGTCCGCTGAAGCTTGTCTGTTGGGTTGACATGAAATGGTAGCTTGACTGACAATCAGCTGAGAAGCCAAAATGTCGAGCCTCGTCGTCCCGTTCTGTTGGTCGCTTTCACACTGAACCCGGTCTCAGGAACGTTGCGGTCAGACCTGCTTAGTTTGATGCCTTCTACGTTTTTTTCTTACCTCCAGCATGTACTCGGCCGCTTGTAAGTGCCAGGAAGAAGCGCAGACCGCAGAAGGATGGCCGAAAAGCTGCGCCTGAGATGGAGGTCGAAAGCCTAGAACACTTCGCAAAGTCGCTGGCATGGACCACTCGCAACTCTCTCTCTGCATGCAGGTGGCCGCAGGTAGCCAGAGCATTCAGTGAGTGAGTAGTGAAGGATGCCAGGATACCGTCTGAGATGGCCTGAGCATCTCGGAGCATCTCAGCAATGCTGTGCATGCGTTGGCTCCTGTGGGATGAAAAGCCGTCCTGCTCCTCTGCCTTTGCATTCTCAGCCAGACCAGCAGCAAGGAACACCGGCACCAAGTTGCTAGCCATGCGGCAATCAAGAATTTTGGCTGAAGGTGCCTGGTCAAAGTTTGGTTCCCAATGCTCTTCGACAGACGTGTGCCATGGGCAAGCGGCTCGAAGACGTATCGTCGGTCCAAATCTCTGGTTGCGAGCTAGCATGCCTCAATCGGACGTATAGACATGCCGCTTGGCTGTGATTTGGCAACCAGCTGGAAGAGCTGGATGAGCACGGAAGTCAGTCATATCGGCCAAAATTCTGAAACCAGCAGACGACGATGTTCGGTTGCCGTTTCTAAAGCTTGCTGGCCACATCCGGCCACGGCCACTCTCAGGAACCAGGTGCTTTCGGTGCGTTTAAAGATCGCGCTGCGCCTGCTTCTCACTGGCTCAATCCCCAGTTGGATTCCTGAATGCAGGTCTATTGACGAGTTGCATTTCCAAACAGATTCAGGCTGTATTACGCTGCCGACTCGCGCTGGCATTTCGGCAGCTCCTTCAGCAAGAATGCGGGGCAGCTCGACACTGCTTTGCGGAGTGCCTTCCCAGCAGATTCGATAGTAAAAAGTTATCTGAGCACGGCACGACTGCTGTATCGCCAATTGCGAGGCCGTGTGTGCGATGACAGCAGCCTCCCTCCCCCTGACAGCGCTCCGTGGGAAGAGCGAGTATTGCTGTTTGGTCGCGTCTTTGGCTTTAAGTCCTCGCCGGCCAGGGTGCGTGGCTTGTCAGCTTGTCAACAGCTCTTTCACAAAGTGTAGGCAGCCGGTGGCGAGTTGAGTAGACGTTAGTTAACATCGACTGCCAATGCTCCAATAAGGATGCGAGTTCTTGGAGGATTGTCAGGCTGCCTGGAATGCTGCCAAGTCTTCGGGCGCATGCAATGCTATACATGTCACAAATTGCGAGATCTCTGAGACTTGCTGAAAGCATGGATCTACTGATAATATATGGGGGGTGTGGCGGCCGAATCGAACCGAAGCATGAATCAGTCTGCAGGACAGTCAATGGGGCCTGGGGCCACACCAGCATCACTGCTTGTAAAGCAAACAGCCATGCAAGACTCGGGACAGAGTGGTCTCGCTATCATTAAATCTTGCCCGAATGTATGAATGTTTACCCATGTTGTGGCCTGTTACATGTCGGGTTTTCGTAGAGATGTACAGTTGTGGCGGCGTCATCCTGTTCACTGTCAGTCACTGTCTCTCGTTCACAGCTAGCCATAACGCCGAGGAAATCAATGCTCTGTACGATCTACTTCCAGGTGAGGACGGGCAAGCCCCTAGATTTCGTCAGAGAGGGAAGGATGCGTGGCTGTACTATGCCATCGATGGTCGTTGGCATTTCGGCAGTGGTGTAGCTGCAGCACAAAATCTGCCTGGCCATCGATTTCGCAGCCGGGAGTGCAAGGCAGGCACACTGCCCGTCGACACTTCGAGCTGGGAGGTCCGTGACATGCGTGACTTGGGATCGGGCAGCAAGAGGCCTTCTTCTTTCACAGCTTCGAGCGCCAGGCAGCCCAGAAGTGCACGGGGGATGAAGTTCAGTCATGCCGCGCTGCGTCACAGTACATCACGCTACCAGGTTGGTACGTCTAGCTTCTGACGACTGGTCATGGTGCAAAGACATCTGGTCTGCGGCAGCAGCTGTTGAGATCAGTGGGGCAAGATGCGGCGATACAAACGGCTGTTACGAGCTCCAGCACTGCAGGACCACAAGAGGGATCGTCAAAAGGTTGATGCCGCTACCACGGCACATGTCGCTCATGCACGATTGATTTGACCGTGCATCGTGCACTTAGGTATTTGAAGCCTACCCTCGGGCAGATAGGGATTAAGCATCCTGGCAGGAGGGAGTCCGATGGGTCGCCGGTATTCAAACACCGGACGGCAAAGTGCTGGCTGTATTTTGCCAGTGACCGGCGATGGTATGCAGGTGGGGATACCGATGACATGAACCTTTGGGCATCTCGAGGACTTCTTCGGAGCAGCACATGTGCTGCTGGAACCCTTCCGGGTGAGATCCATGTCTGGGAAGAGAAGTCGTCTCTTTACGGCGGTTACGTCCGCACAAAAGCTTGCAGAGTGTCGGCAATTCCTGGGCCTCAGCTGGGAATCTTCAAGGCTGCCGTGTTTGCTGCACCGGCGGCTGTGCAGGTTTCTGGGGCTGCAGCAGACAACTGGAATGGGAAGTATTTTCGGCAGGTGCACTCGTCATGCCCAACCAGGCAGGCAGCAAAGGGTGAACTTGATTTGTCAGGTGCTGCGCACTTCTATACAGTACAGATCTGTCAATGGATAGCAACCAGCAGCCCACCAGCTTGCAGGCTTCCCACATTCTGCAAGACCGAAGCCGATGCTTGGTTGTACCAATGCGATGATGGAAGATGGTGCGCCCCTTCATGTCTGGGTTTTTGTTGCCCGCACGGCAAGTGCATAACGACTGCAAGACTGTCTCCAGGTATGTGGGGCAGAAAAAGCACAAGGACAAGCGCTGTGCCGGGCGAGGGCTGAGAAGTTCAGTCTGCGATGTCGGTGTGCTGCCGTTTCTGGCCGCATGGGATGAGCATCGATGGCGCTTCTCGGCTTAGAAATGGCTCAGGTTTGGATTGGACGATGACACGGCAGGAAGGACAGATGGTGCAGCCATTCCGATAACGGCATGTTTCGATGCCCAATCTCGGGTGTGAGCCAAGGTTACACCATGCCCTTGTTCGAGCCCACGAAGCATGTCAAAGTGTTAGAAGACTGACCTGTCTCTTGCAAAATCCGAGCAGGCGCAGTACCAGCCAATAAGTTGTGAAGACCACCGTGGCAGATGGATCATGATTGGCTTCGTGCAGCCTCGGACTTCAGGACAAGACGGTTTCGGGCAGTGGACTCTGCGACTCGCTGGATTTGTGATGGCCGGAACATGCACTTCGGCCATGTCGGCGAGATGCGCGATCGGACGGAAACCAATGTGCACCTGTGCCATTGCAAAGCATTTGTGCCAGGCAGCTGTTACTGTAACAATGACCGGGGGGCCATGCGAAGCTGAAGGCATCGCAACGCATACCTCGCTCAGGGGCTACGTCGAGCCAGCAGGTCGAGACACAGCCGTGTCCCCGAAATCGGGAAAGGCAAAAAGAGCTACGGTCTAGTGCACCCAAAGCCTTCGACTGGACAGCAACTTTGCAGTTGCCTATTCTGACGACGATTGCCATCTTCAATCCAGGCTCGACCCAGGCATGCAGCCTTTGCAGAGCTTTACTGCATTTCTTTCTATTTTCTTTCTCTCTCTATATCCATATATAGTACTTTTGTACATGTTTTGCGCATGTGCATATCCAGCTGCATCTATATGCTATATATGGACCTTTGCATGTAGGTAGGTATGCATTTATCTATGGATGAACGGATACTCCACTCTCCACTCTTGTGCCACGTGTCGATGCCATGGCACAGCAGGACGGAGCGATGGAACAAACATGCTGACTGTTTTCTTGTTGAAGCATGCCTCTTGATATGTTTTCAGAGTCTTTTGCATGATCGAGGACCTCTACGAGTTGCTGGGCATCCAAAGAGATGCCCAGGAGCAGGAGATACGGTCATCGTATCGACGACGTGCTCTCCAGGTCCACCCAGACAAAGGTGGCAGCGAGGACGGAGAGCTCCAGATTCCTTGGTGTAGGACATCATGCGGCTGCGTGCAAAGCAGGATCTCTTTCACGCGGTCCTGACGGCATTCGAGGTGCTCTCATCTAGGAGAGGGTGCATTCGGGCTTATCCCTGTCAACTGCCAACAGAGTCCTACCGACATGAGGCTGACGGCAGGAAACTCAAAACTTGTGAGCCATCACTTAGTATACGATACCTTCCCAGAGGAGCACCCGCCAGACCTACGATGCTGCCCGCGATCGTGGCCTGCTGCCTAAAGATGCACTGGCAGCCGCCACAGGCTGGCCTCCTACCATTCCCTTTGAACTTCAAGGTTCCGTATGATTTCAGCAGGCCGCGGTCGTTGTCAAGACGTCGCACAGAAGGCCAAGGCGACATGTCATGAACCTGTCCCGAGCCCGAACCCAGAACGACATGCGGACTACTTCAGCTGTACCTTCGGAGGCCCCGGCCAGCCATCGTGCACTGACACAGCTTCGACAGCTTCTGGCGACTCTGACGCGCGAAGCGCGTCGCGAAGCATTGCAAAACCTCCCGACAGAGGCAAGCATGTTCTTCGGCTGGCCATGTGAAGAACGTAAGCTGGGCCCTTCTTGCAGGTCCAGCAGGCACTGATGACCTTCATGAAGCAGGCATGGGTGCCTGGTGTGTATGTCGCACATTAAGATCCTTGGGGTGCCATGCCAGTCAATCTACTATATAGCTGTGAAATACTCCAGCCAGTCGAATGCCGGCTGGGACATGAAGGGCACCTTCGTCGGTCTACTATACTACTAGAACAGACCTGAAACCGTGGGAGTCCGCGAGGTGTGAGGAAGCGAACGCGAGGGGAGGCCCCCGAGGTTCCCCGGTAGAACATCATTGTCATTGTTGAACGTTGCCTCCCTGCTGCCCATGGCATCCGTGGCCATACCGTGATGACTTAATGACAAATGAGTTCCGTTCGCGCAGTCGAACTTGTCTATATGCTTGCTCCGTGCATTCGTCAGTGTCGTGTTTTTGGGCATGCCATATTATTGGAGTTTCGAACCTGAGCGGGATCCCGAGATGAGAAGCACCGATGATAAGAAGAAGGGAGGTCTTGGACGCTGCTGGCAAACATCATAGCACGATGATGGCATGATGATTCGGCATGTTCTGGAAAGCTGGACAAGAGGAGTACCCTCGAGCTGCGAAGTGCGAAGGATGGTCATATCGACACAAACTGTCCAGGAGCCCGACATCCTGCCCGAGCAGCCTCAGGTCGTTGCTTGGATGAAAATCAGGACTTTAAGCTACGGCTACGGCGGCTACGGTCTGCTGACAAGAGCTGCCACGATCTGAGTCTGCCTCGTCCAACTTGGCCCTGCCGGATGCAAGCGGGGCAGCAGGCCAAGACTCCTCGGAGATGCTTGCTTCACCTGCAGTCTTGCGAACTTCTAAGCAGAAAGGTGTTCCTGATCAAAAATAGTCATGGGTATTCCCGGAGCTGGGAGCAGTTCTCCCTTGGCATATGTGCATCCTGAAGATGCTGTCTATTGTTGGAGAGCTTCAGGCACTTGCATCTCCCTTTTGATTAGGGTTGAGGGTTTAGGGTTGGGGTGACAGAGACTGGTTTCGATAAGACAGCGTTTCCTGTCAGATACGGTGATAAGAGTTCGAGCTTCAGAATGTCTTCGCGTGGCTTGGTTGTATGCGTGGTTTGTGCAGGGTTTTGGGCTTTGGCGGCATTTGCTGGAGATGGGGTCTTAAAGGTGGAAGGTTTTGTCGTTTGCAGATTCGACGCAGCTTGCAGATCAGCAAACAACCTTCACTGGCGACTGTTGGAGGTGGGCGCATCGGCCGCGGGATTCTGCGGCAAAACACATCGCCACCAACATACAGAGCCTCCGTGTTCCTTCCCAATCTGTTTCTTGTCTGAATGGCCGTCTTGCTGCCTCGTACGACCATGTCAAAGCCGTGGTTGCAGGTTTGCACTTGTGCTTGCTGCTATTCGTGTGCAGTGGCGAAAGAGGGTCTGGTACCCGTAGTTCTGGCGTGTCAAGCTCCTTCAGGTTCTTGATGTCCGTACCTCATCCCTCCTTGGAGCTGGCGACTAGGATCAGCCAGTAACACACTTTTTTTCTTGACATTCGGCCGAGTTCATCAGCGCAGACTCTGTTTTTTCCGTTGTGAGTGTTTTGGCAGTGGAAAGGTTCTGCAGCGCCACTCAGTGCTGCTGCGCACGCGAGGGCTGCTGAGCTCCGCAGCAGAACTGAACAGAGACAGCTTTTCCGAAGCCTTCGCCAAGGCCAGGATCCGAGAGTTCGAGAGAAGTCGGGAAAGACTGGGTTAGGACTGGGAGTACAGAGGAGTTCGGTGCGGACTTGGGACTTCGTGAGGCCTGCGAGGAGGCAGAAATGGATGCTACCCAAGAGCTCCGTGCGCTGACGTTCGCCGCTATCGTGCCGGCTTACTTTGAGGCATCCGAGACATATTGCGGTGGATGCCTGGTCGATCCAAATCATGCCAATGTATCGAAAGGTACACCTGACCTGTACTTCCTCCACCTCCACATCTAAATGAGCTGACAACTTCACACTGCACGCTCCTCCCATGAACGTCCTGTCTCTCTGCATGCCTTTGCACATCTATGCGCCCGAGATCCGTAGATGGACTGCTTCGTACAAAGAGTCGGCTGAGAGGTGAACCGCCAGATCAAGGGCCGTCAGACTAGCGATTTGGCTTCAGCCCTGGCGCAGCGGGACCGCCTACTGGAGGCGGGATGAGGCGGGAAAATTCAAAGAGTCACTCCTCAGAAGCTCCGTGTGGCAGGCAAAAGCGGAGGGCTGGCCTGCACTGAGCCGACGGCCGAAAGTCTGTTTTTCTGTGTTCTGTGTTCTGTAGGGTCTTGAGTAGCCTAGGACGCGAGTGGATGGCCATCATGCAGAGCCCGACTGAGGTGGGCCGGGTGGGGAGTGCACGGTCGTGGCCGATTCATGCTGGCTCGAAAGACGTGTGACCATTCAGCACCACGGCTTCACGGTTTGTCTCCATGGAGCAACGCAGCCTAGGGTGTCAGGGCGGGCGTTCTCCGTGGCGGTTTTTGTAATCGATGCACAATGGCTGCAAGCCAAGGCTAAGCATTATCTAAGCCTTGAAGACATGTGGCTTACGGGTTCTAGTCAAAATCTACTCGTAGTAATAAGAGGAGGGGTGGGGTCCGGAAAGTCAGGAAGACGATGCAAGACGATTCTTTCCGGCCGATGGACGAACACCTATTCTCATAGCCTGAGCAAGCTAAGCAGGCGCAGCATGTTCTGTTACACTGTTGCGGCAGTATGCAGAGGGTGGAGGGGTGGGGGCTATGCATTTGTCCTGCCATGGAAGGCCTGGCTCATGACTTCAAATAAAACATTCGGGGACCTGGTTCTGTTCCCTTGGGTTCCTGCTACCCAGCTGAAGTTTCTTGGTTGCTGTTGCGTTTAGATTCTTGCAGATTTGCATGATGTATTCGTCTCCACTCACATTAAAAGGAATCAAGGATGAATATGAAGTCTTGTCTCGTTAGCAATGGTCGAGCATGGTCCGACGCACAGCCCAGACCGCAGTCATGCTCGCCGAAACCCAGCGTAGTGGTCTCCCTCCCGAGTCCTTCCCTAGTGTATCCTAGCATGTCAAGCACTCTGCGCGCAATGCCAGGTGGGTCATAGAAGTTACAGTGTCCGACCCTCACACTCTGCCAGACCATCCGTGTGTGCTTTCAACCTGGCAGTTCGGCGCAGCGCACGGTGCCGGCTGAGGCCGAGGAAGCGGCGAACATCGCCGACTCTGCTTGGGATGCCGGGACCGCCTCAAGGGCGAGAGCAGAGGCGGCTGCTCAGTGGCTTACACTACATCTTGGGTGGTTCTTTCTTTTGATACACTAAGACGGAGACGACTTCCTCAAGATAGGCCAAGCTGCTCTCCTTGATTCCAACTTCAGTTTTGGCTCCTGCTGCGTTTCAACTCCTCACCACTTCACTGAAACCCCAGTGAACTGCGCCGAAACCTACGTCACAGTACAGGGCTCACAGGCACATCCAAGAGCTTGGCAAACTCGCGGCGCTCTTTGGCTCGCCAGAACCTGCATGGGAGAGTGTGAGCTGCGGTGGATGTCTTCGCATGCTGGTATCTTGTCATTGACTCTCCCTCCTTCGCTCCGCCTGACTCTCCCTCGTTTTCTTGACGCTTGTCTGACCCATGAAACGACGCGCATAGTCTTGTGGTCCAATGCCTCCGTTCTCTCCACGATCCTCACAAGGGTCGAGGGCCTAAGCAATTTTTTGGGGCTCAGGGCTTCCTGCTCCACGGTTGCTCCACAGACTTCCAGCTTCCTCCAGAGCGACGAATTTGCAGAGACCCAGTGCCAAAAAGAGCAGCCCACCCGCCACTCACAAGCGCAGACACCCCTTCCGATGCGCTCTGGGCCTCGCAGGCCAAGCGCGCTGCCAGGAATCCAAAACGGCGCGAGCGAGATCGAGAGGCCAGGTCGCCCTTTGTAAACTCCACAAGTCGGATGAAAGGAGAGAGGGCCGTTATGTGTTAAGTTTGTGTTGCATCCCCGTTGCATCGTACACGCACCTAATTAGTGGCAAGAGCGGGATGCAAGTTCTATGTCAGTTCGTGACAGGTCACGATCGAACAGGCTGCCAAGGCAGCAGCTCGAGCACTCAAGGCATGGCGGCACATGACCATGGCTTCATGACGTCCTGTGAGAAGTGTCGTGTCGTGGAACAGAGAAGCGAAGCTGTACATTGCAGGCCGAGGCCACAGTGCCGCCGCCAAAACGGCGAAAGCAAGCTGCAGCAGCTGCAACTGCGGTCTCCAGAGATCAAAAGGTCAGCAAAAGGGCACCGTTCTGCATGCTGCGGACTCCGAAGCTGCTTCCCTCGGCTTTCAATCTTTCTCAAAGGGCGAGCGATAGAACTCACTCGGTAAGCCAGAAACGAATCTTAAAAGTAGGCAGCTTTCGCAATGCTTGTCAGCTACATGTAACTACATGCCACATGGTACTGGTACTACAAGTAGCCGCGAACAGCACGCAGACGACAGACCTTGATCGCTCCAAGAATCTGCTTCATGCACTTCCGAGATGGCGGTCGGAAAGAGACGTTTGCTTCTGTGGCTCGGAGCCTGCGCTGCGCTTCTGGCTGCATTTCGGCCATCTTGTGCTATGCTGGCCGGAGACAAACCAATGAGGCGCGCATGGAATTTCGCTTTTGGCTCCAACATGGACAAATTCACAAGGATGCGTAGGCAGCTGCAACCGACTCAGAAACTGCCAGCAGTTGCTGATGGCTGGGAATTATGGTTTAGCCTTGCGGGTGTGCCCTTCTTGGAGCCGTCGTTCGCGACACTTCGGCCATCCCAAAACATTAGCACGCACGGAGTGTGCCTCGAGCTTGGACGGGAAAGCTGGATCCGATTACTGGTGAGTGAAGGCGTTTTTGGAGCTGCGGACATAAATGAGTTTAGAATGCGACAAGTGCCGCTGGAAGAGATCCTGGACAGAGCTGCGAAGAGGGGACAAGCTGTCCGCGGCTACCGGCTTTTGCCGATTGAGGTGCAATCTTGTTGTTCGATGTGGCACAAGCCCTGATTCGGATGACTTGAGTTCTGTCAAGGGATTGGAACAGCAGGTTGGATGAGGATGCTGCACGGTTGACATGCAGCCATGGGGACGGAGAATGGTGCTGGCTATTGAGCATGATGTTTTCATCTCATTGTCATGTTGTGTTTTTCTTCGCAAGCCGGACATGCGAGAAGTTGTTAACTTATAGGCTTATTCAGCTCGCACGTCCATTTGCAAGTACATGCCTGCAGGGTGCTGTGTCGTAGTAGCGAAATAGGGAAGTTCCGAGTGGCTCGGCCCTCTCGACAAACAACCACAGCAAGTTCTCGACACCAGTTCGTGCAAGGTAGATGGCAAACAATGCGCCGGTTCGTTTGGCCTTTGTCGAAACTGTTTTCCGTGCCAGCGTGACTGCACCCAGTCTGACCTTTCATGGATTCAGCAAGCACTCCGGACTTCCCAGTGTTAGTCTCCCGCCATGCCATCTGCAACCTGCCGACAAGGGGGAACGACTAGTTGGTCAATGCTGATGTGTTGATGTCGATTGATGTCGTAAGTTTGCCTTGCTAGGCGCAGGATTTTGCCTACGGTCTTGGCCGGTGCCCTTCCTGCGAGTTTTTCACGTTAGTACTTGGACCGATTGAAACAAGACTTTGCAAGACTTGTAAAACCTTTCCTGCGTGTATTCGCATCCACACATTTGCACAACTGCTATCTCGGCACACACAAGAGCTTCACGGCACGTAGTGGACATGACGCTTATATCTTTTGCACTCCTCCGAATGCTGCTTTGTCTTGTCTTGACTCGCCTCGAGCTGATTATTGCTAGTGCACGCGACAACATAAAAGTAGGCGACAGGCGTGGCTGCCTGAGAGCTTGGCTGAAAGGTGTCGATGTATTCAACGTCCCAGCGCGAGACCGCCTATGCCTTGGTGGACGGCGACTTCGAGTCAGAGACAGAGATGCCTCAGGTCAGGCCGCCGTCTTTAAGATACTGGCGGCTTCTGCGCAATGGGGCACGGAGACATGGCTTGACGCGAGACTACCGCGACTATCTGGCCTCTTTGCCAAGGTCATCATGGGGGATCGCAATTTAAGAAAAGCATGCGATCAGCGGGACCACGAAGATGGAGATAGTTCCAGCTGGGATAAAACTCTTTCAAGAGAGGACTGAGCCTGCACAACCCTGGAGGTATGTGCCATCCTTGCTAGCTCCCGCCGCCCTTCCAGCTCTCGCTGGTGCTGCCGCTGCTCGGTGGGTTGACAGCTCCGATCAGGAGGCTCCAGAATGAGTTAGACTTGTTGCAGAGAGAGTCGTTGGCATGGCGGGTTCCTGTGCAGCCACAGTGGCGTCTGGCCCGATGTTGCATTGTCAGGGGTCAAGGCGTTCGAGGATCGTATGGCCGGGTCCCGGGTTGTTCCAGGCCTGGCCGCGGCTGCAAGGTCCTGCCAGCCTGGCGTGCGGGTCTCAAAGCACCGTGCTTCCAAGGGTGGGCCCCTCCAGGACCCCGCATTCCAAGGCTGGGCCGCCTGGAGATTGGTCCTGATCCACCCGCTGATGTCGGTTTCTGAGGACTTGCAAGTCGCCTCGGGCGCATGGAGAGTCGTTTCGACATTCGCTGTTCTGCTGTACCTATGCACTGTTTTCTCGCACACCGCGGAGGTCTGGAGCAAGTTCTGTTCCGTGCCGCGAGACGAGCTGTGGAGACCTTACAACGCCTCATTCGGTAGTAGCAGTCATCATGCCAGATCATGCAAGCTGCATCAGACGGGAGTTGATTGATGTTGGGGCGGTTGCACGGGATGCCGTGTCGGTACTAACAAGGTTTTTGCAGGAATCATTTGCCTGGTAGACATCGCAGTCATGAGCTGCAGGCTGAATCGTGTGATGAAGCTCGTCGGAGAGGACAGGGCTCACGGCTGTTGGAGATCGATTTGCCTTTGATTCTTGCTAGGTTGTCGTGTAGATCGATTCATTAGAGCGCCTCTGCGAAAGCCGCAGATGTGAGGGTACTGGAAGCCATGCACGCAGGAATCCACAACTCTTTACCTGGCTTGACCTGATGGTCGGATCTCTGAAACTTGCGGTGGCTGACAAAAGCCGACATGAGCGCTTAGGATCTTTTGAGCTTTCTTGTGCATATGTTGTACATGTTGTAGCTAGTATGCACCAATGGTTCATCAGTGACATGTGGATGTGTGGATGTTTGACTGCGTTGAAGCCACTGAGCAGAGAGGAGATGATTTCGTTTTGCATTGACGAATCATTGAAAGATTTTCCCAAGCACAGATGCTGCTGTATGCCAGAAGACCCAGGATTCCGGAGTCTGAGACTCACAAGACTGGTTCTCGCAGCAAAAACGTGGCAGTTGCTCCTGAACCTGCTATGTTTGATTTACATTTTCGGCGCTTACATTCGCGAGCCTTCCCAGGGAATCGGCCCAAGACAACAACCCGATATTTGCATTGATTCTTCCCAGATCGCATTGAACTGACTGTGAGCACCTGCAGAAATCTGCAATCAGATTCAAGCAGTGTCAGTTGCAGCCTGTGCATGGCGAAGTGTCGGTTTAGAATGAGCCATGCCTGGCTGCCACATAAACCGAATGCTTGGTCGGCGTGCGGCAGAGACCTCGGGAGGTTGAAGAAACTGTTCCAAGCGAGTAGAATGAGATCTTTGACATTCTGGTACAAGCTCGGAATCAAATTGCAGCTGCAGGCATGTGTATTGGCGGTGTTGATCTGGCAGTGCAGGCCAGCCGCCGACAAGACCGCGTTCAATTTCTATGTTCCCATGAATCACAACAGACGGTTCAGCTCAGACAGGCTCCGCGGCTTGGCACAGACAGGTGCGCGGTTTCGAGTCCTCTTCAGATTGTGGAGTACAGCACCAGGACTGAGCATGGACTGAGCATTGGCTGCAATTTGAGCCGGCAGCTCAACATTTCGCGAGAGTACGGGAGCTGGGCTTGAGTTTAGCTTTGTTTTCACAGAAACTGAAACAGTAGGGTCGGACGGGTGGAAGCCCATCATTGATTATACCGTGGGAGTGGAAGCTTGCAGATGCCTTTGCCGAAGGAGTTTGCTTGCCGAAGCAAGTTGCAGCAACACCGTGTCGTCCAACATGCGGGAAGAACCGCAAAGCTTTCAGACACGCAGAGTATGGCAAAACAGGAGGGTGTAACACTCAACTTCTGCAGAAATATTGCTAATATTATTCGATACCCGGTCCCAAAGCATCGAGAATCAATCATGCAACAAGGGTCGCTTGAAGGACAGGCAACGCCAGGGCACAACCCCATGCCCCATTTCAGAAAGCTAGCCATGCCGACTTATTTTTCCGGTCGAGCTAAGTCGTTCGTAACAATCGAGGTTCAATCAGGTTCCATCATGTAACAGCATCGTTTGAAGGTCAGACAACGCCCGGAATTCCAGTCGAGCTAAGTTGTCCCAGTCCCGCGTGCTTCCACCGAGATCCTCAAACAAAAACGAAACAAAGAAGATCAGGAGCAAGGAGCTGGTAGAAGGGAAAGTCCATAGGAAGGAAAGTCCATAGGAAAAGATACACCTTATATACAGACTGATCGACAACCGCATGGGTTCCAAGGCTTACAGGTTTTCCAGCAGGGCATTGGGGCCTTTAGCAAGGGTTTAGCCTTTCGGGCTTTAAGCTTGAGGTTTGAGGTCGTTAATTAGAAATCCTCAACTTCAAGTTGGGAAGCTCATGCTGGCAGCGGTCGGCTAACAACTTGTGCAAACTCCGCATCGAACCAGCGGGAGAGTTGCAGGTCGCAACAGTGGACAACATAAAGTTGCTGGCAGAGACGCTTCTGGAGGTGCAGCAGTGGGGATTGAAGGGTGTGCGCCAATTAGAATGGGACAACAGTACCAAAGCAGCAACGGGTTCGAGGTATGTGTCCACCTGGCCAGCTTCGCCCCGCCAATGGAGCTTGCCTGGGTTGTGATTCGAACGCAAGATGCTGCACCGTGGGAGGCAGTCTTTGACCGTTTCCGTTACTTACTGATTCTACCTCGATCGTGTAGGTGGAGGCCGAAGGCAGGTTTCGGGCATCAAGCAAGGGTCCCTGGGTCCCTTGGGACTCAGGAGCTGTCGTGCAGTCTGATCTTGAAGGTGCACGGAGACATCAAGCCCCAGAACATCTTGCTGGAGGCCCTTGGCGGTTCGGTACTCTGATGCCTGTGCTTGTTGCACAGTTTCTGCAGGCATGTTGCAGCCATTGTCACACAGCTTCTTGAAGGGACATGGGAAGGGATGGCTTGGATCCTGGGCCTTACTTCAGGACCGCATGATTCTGGAGCATGTCTGCTTCGTGATGGCGCGCTGATATGCGCTGCCAACGAGGAGCGTTTCAGTCGTCGCAAGCATGACGGATGTTTCCCGAAGCGGTCGATCGAATACTGCTTGCAGTCGCAAAACATTGCCCCAAATGATATTAGCATCGTCGCGCATGGCTGGAAGTTCGATGGACAAGACTTGACAAAGCGGCTTGCAGCGGAGCCGGTGGAGGTTCAAAAGCACATGCGTTGGATGGCTGCGAAATTTCGGGACGTAGATTTGAACGTGGAAGCGCGGCTCCGATCAGGCTTGCAAGCCCTTGGAATCCCTGAAGCACGCTTGCAGATGTATGATCACCACAGCTGTCATGCTGCCGCCGCTTTCTTTGCCTGGCCGGCGCGCCTGACAGCCAATTGCTGTGATTGCTGTTGTGTTACTTTGGATGGGCGAGGAGACTATGCATCTGGCAAGATTGTGAATTTTTGCAAGAAACCAGCGGTCCTTGACGTGACTTCCATGTTTGACAGCCTTGGTATGCTCTGGGCCTTCGTGACTGCCTCCTTGGGTTTCAAAGCTTTCCGTCACGAGGGCAAGCTGACAGGCGCAGTAACCTTGATATACCTTGATGCTTCGCTTCGATGAAGGTCTGACTGCGTTCCTGCATGCAGAGACAGTCGTTCAAACAAAATGTTCACGCCGTCCAGAAAAGGACTTTCTTGAATTGAATGTTGCGTGTGGCAAATGTGTGACACGGTCAGCAGCAGATGCGGTAGTGAGTGCCAAGTCAAATCATTGGAGGGACACTTGCGCGGTGTGGAAGAGACTCCCCTCCCAACAGGAACTGACTGTAAGTTACTTGTAGTACTGGATGACAACCGCTGCACAGGTTAACTTCGCTGCCACAGATCAATCTGGGACAAATTACACTCAAGTTTGGAACATCAGATGCACCATGCCAGTCTGAGCACTCGCCAGCTACTGCGGGTCCGTATGTACACACCGCATCAGCATAAGATATCATCACGCTTCCTTGTCTGCAGGCTTAGCTGCTCATGGGGACGGCAGTCGTACGGCGCGTATCTTCGAAACGGTCATGGGGCTAGTGGAAGATGGAGGTTTGTGGAGGATCAGAGCCTTCTGGCAAGAAGAGGAGACGAAGAATTTCATGCTGTTTCTGGCCAGCTTGGAGGGCCCGTCAGCCGAAAGGCGAGAGGTTCGGACTTTCGCTCTCTACCAGGAGCTGCAGCAGCACCAGCCGAAGGATGTCGCCGCGGGATTGCAAATCTTCACAGAGGATCTTCTGCTGGATTACATGCGCTTGAACAACTTCGTCAAGCCCTACATTTGCGTTGCTGGTGGTGTCTTCGCCAATGTACGGCTGAACCTGCGGCTACGGCAGCGTTTCCAGGATGTGACTCAGGCGAAGGGAGCAGGGACTAGCAGGAATGCAGCCCACAAAACCATTTCATGACATGTTCTGCTGTTACGAGTGCAGAGGTCTTCGTGTATCCCAACATGGGCGATGCAGGGCTCTGTTTTGGAGCTGCAGCTTTGGCAGCTTCCGACGCAGGCCAGCAGGTTTCCTGCCCGACTCTTGATTGCATCCTGCTGCAGCCGCTGTCCTTGTTGTCTATGCGGTAGTACTCGTATCTGCTTCATAAGACACGACTTTTCGGTGGAAGCTCTTAGGAAAGGCAGTGTTTTCCTGGGACCCGACTTCTCCGCAGAGAGACTTGGCTGATCCTAGCTGTCTCGAGCCTGCCACACTAGGTTGGCACACATCGGGTGATATGCCGTAGCTGAAGACAGCTCATGATTGTCAAGTGTGGGTCGGAGCAGAGGGTGCGAGGGCAGGAAAGAAATGCCAGATAAGGGGCACTGCTCATTTAGTCTGCACTGTGTGCCCGCCTTCAAGCGAGCTGAGCTGTGTGAGCGGGAGCATGTTGCCATCCTCGTTCATGCACCCTTTCCTATCTCTTGATTGGCCCAGACTACTAGAGAAGGCCTGCCCGAGCCTCATGTCATGTGGCTGCCAGCCTTTCAGAAGAGAGTCGCGTATCTGGAGGAGCCTGCGGGCAAGAGCAGGACTAGATGGGAGAATCATGCTCGATCGACAGGAGGCAGCAGGAGTTAGATGCTACCGTCGGAATCGGGACTTGCGAAATTGCAAAGATTTGTTTGCAGAGCACATGCCTGCATGTCCCACCATCAAGATTGGACACTAGTCTCGCTATACTTGGCGACTCCGTCTAGCCTTGCGGGCTTCGCTTCCCGGACCGCTCTGAAAGGCAGCTATTCGCACTCTGCACACCGCCCGCAAATTTGACACCGACCTTTGCAATATATTGTTTGGCACGGTTCACTAGTGGCATGCCATGTCATGTCATGTCATGTCATGTCACGTCATGTCCGAAACGATGAAAGACTCGTCTTGTCAGTTCTTCCGCCGCAGTACAAATATCGAGTCGAAGCCCTGCCAATTTGCGGGTCTTCGCCGTGAAGGCTTGATCGCACCCATCCTGCAGCACAACAAAAAGGTTGAGGGTTTCAGTGCTCGACCTCGGAGGTGGTCCCCCAGTGCCCTAGCAACAATCAAGGCTTGGGGACGTTCTGCGGCCTGTGTCCGTCTTCGGTGCCTTGATTGCCAGTTCAGGGTGCACAAAGGGTGCCACTGGCCACCGGCTTGTGCTACCAACCGATGATGTTCATCATCTCGCATCCCAGGTGGGTCGGAGATAAGTCATTTGGAAGGATTTGCAGAGGAGGTGGCGGCCTATCTGGCAAGGGGAAAAGTGCCAGCCTTGGGAACCTTCAGTTGCAGAGATGTAGCTGAGATGCAGTTCGGCATGGCCCGGCTGCGGTCGCGAGGTCGTGGGTCTGTACGTGGGTGCCATGGAGTTTGGCCCGAGAGCCCTTGGGAATCGCTCTTTGCTGGCTTCTGCAACAGATCCCGCTATCAACTCAGACTTGACACTGGGTGGCAAATTTGTCGAGCTACCTGTCATCCGTCTTCGCAAGCGACGCAGCCTTCTGCAAGGAATGCACGCTTGGGGCGGACGGAATACATGCCATTTGCCCCAATGACGTTGAGAAGTTTTGCTGGGCAGGCGTATTCGGACTTTCCCGTCGAGGACTGCGCGGCTTGTGGTTTTCAGGCTGCGGCTAACTCTCCTTTGCTGGCATAGATTGAGAGAGTGGAGCGGCATTTTGTTCCTGAGGCATTGCCTGAGCCATTCGAGACATCCGGTCCCGTGTGACTTTCTGGTTTAGCAGATTGCAGCATTTCGTTCGAGCTTGCAGCAGGACTTGGAAGCCGGGCGACATATGACGATGTGCGTGGCTCTTAGATGATGACGTATGATGAGGTCTACAGGTGTGTGTGTGTGTGCGCCTCTTCATGTTAAACGTGGCTTTCAGCCACACCCGTGAGTTCGAGGTTATGAAGCCACACCGGAGTTGAAGAAAATGTGCCCTGCAGTCGTGCATGTGGACAACACAGCAGCTCAGCTTCATTAGCACAATTTTGGAATGGAACTCATCAGCCTCTCACGCATCAGCAGCGCATCAGCAGGTGAGGCCACAAGTCGTGGACGAACGTGACGGACTAGCGTATCACGTGTTGGTGCACTACGCTGCTTGGGAAGAATAGAAACAGAGCAACATAGCAACAGCACATTTGGCATCTTGTCGGACGCTTCCCCTGGCTTGAGGAGGCAAAGACCGGCATGCATAGCCTCATCAATACTAGCAACTCGGCGTCAGCTGATCAGAGGCTCCTACTCAAAGATCAGCATCGCATCTGCATGTGCAGCAATGGTGAAATCCATAACTCAGGCTTTAACATGCACGAGGATCCGATTGTCTGTACTCCGAAGGACGCCCCTATGCATCGCACCAGTAAGGAATATGCTGCAAACCAGATGCAGTACCAGCAACTATCAGTAGCACGTGCATGATTCCAGGCATGTGGAAAGTCCCCCATGTAGGTTTGGGAAGGGAGAAGGAAGTATCTGTCAAGCGGGCCTGGCCTCCCTGTCGTGAAGCGGGCCGGCATGGACGGCAGGGGTAGCACATTTGCATGCACGGCTTCCCGTGGCGTAAGCTGATGACAGGTCTCCCGAGGCTTCCAGTTCGGAGAGTAGGTGTGCCGGTGTGCTCCCGATTATTGGAGCCGACAGACACGACCACGTGCAACAGAGATCAGCACAACGTGAATGCCACAACTCAGCAGTGCAACACGGCAGCAGACAGCAGAAGCAATGGCCTTCAAGGTCATATCGAAAGGTCTACTTCCACATCCGGGCAGGGATCGGATCAATGCACTCCACGGAAGTCTTAAACCTCCGGTTGCCCTGGCCACTTCATGAACGCATTGGGAAAGAGCCAAGTCTCGGATTGCCTTGGGGACAAGAGCTGAATAGGCTGCTTGCAGTTCTATGCTTCCACCTCTGTGGTCTGTGCTCCGTTGCCCCGGTGGTTCTGTCTGTGACGTGTCCGTGTGTGCGAGCGCACGCGAGCGTGTATGTGTGTGTGTGTGTGCGCCTGCACACGCACTCGTTTGATCTTGTTTGTTTGTGTGTGTGTGTGTGTGTGTTTTTGTGCATTCGCGTGTGTTCGTGCGCATATGTGTCTCCGTCTCTTTCTCGTCCTCTCTCTCCCTCAGTTTTTCTGTCTTGTTTTCGCATGTGCCATCGCGGTATTGCCGAGTGTGATGAGAATGAGCTGGTGTTGTCATGTGTATTCTCATGTCAAGAGTATTAATACACCTTCCGCGCAGGTTCCCAGTCTCTCAGCAGCACATGCTCGTCCTGTTGGAGCCTTTGCTCTTTGGCCAGGGTACTCGCTGTAGTTAGTGCGGCGTTCTACACCCCTCCTGTGGGAGTTTAGAAAAACGTTAAGATTGGTTGGTCCGTGTCAGCTGGGGTTCGGTGCGCGGCAGTGGCACGTCAGTGAACGCGTCAGCGAATATCGAAAATGCCGGCACGCTAGATCCTCCACAGCGCTCGTCAGCAATGCAATAGCTTCGGCGCGAGTACCATCTTTTTAGAACAGCAAGAAAGAAGGGTTTTGAACACCGCACAGTTTGTCATTTCGAAATCCCCCAGCTTTCGAAAGCTCGCTTGTATTGGCGAGGGTGCTCAGAAGAGTGTTCGTTCACAGTCAACATGCGAGGGTTCAAGAGTGCAGGATGAGCGAAGCGGTGATAAGATGATGCTTTCTCGTCCTGGAGATGTTGACTGTTTCAGGCAAATGCTGCTTGTTTTCTCGAATAGCTTTTAACTGTACTTGGAACAAACACCGATGCACCGCCTGCAGAGGATGGGGAGGTTTGCATTCCGCCGATGCTTCAGAGCTTTTGTGCTTTGCGACAGTGTCGAGTGACAGTGCCGTTGCAGTAGCCGCTAGCGCTTAGAAGGATGCTGGAGCACTATCCGGTGTCCAGAGTCTAAAGGCTTACTTGTAGCGTTTCCGCGAGCGTCGGCAGGATGCCATGCACGCCTTCGAGAAGGGTGCATGCGATGCATCTCAGCTCTGAGACTGGAACCCATGCGAAAGGGTTATTCAGCAATGTTCGGTTTCGAGACGTCGTTTTTCGCAACAGTTTCAGCTGTGGAATTTGTAAGGTGCTGGCAGCTTTCCCTTTCTTGATCTGGATGACAATGTCAGCTGGAGACGGGGCATCATCTGGGTACGTCGAAGAGCAAAAGGGGAAGCCCGATGCAAAATGAGCGTGAGTGACTGCACCAAGCTGGACAGCTAGACACGATCAGACCGTCGTTAGCCTGTGTAGGCAGCAGTGCCCCTGAAATTACAAGCTCAAAGACGCTGCTGCCTCTGTGTGTGCGATCATGCCAGGCATTGAGTTTCTTGCGGCAGCCTGTGACAGAGGCACCATCTGAGTTGCACAGAGGTGGCTAGATGATTGCAATGCAGCCAGTCCTGTGCTGTCAAACGGTCTCCGCAGGTTTTACCACTAGGCCAGCCAACTGCATCTAATAGTGTCGCCAAGAACCAGGTGGGGCCAGCAGGCTGGAAGTTTAGGAGTTCGGATGCGCGGTTTGTGCCATGCTGCAGGCTACTTTGCAATCTCGGACAGAGGCATTCAGGGAAGAAGCTGGATTCTACAAGTCCGCAGTAGCTTGCAACACCTCATTCACGAGATTCTCCAGTTGCCGCAGGTTACTTTGCAGCCTCCGCATGGGTGCAGTACCCAGCGTGCAGCTTGCAGCGCGCAGTGTGGCTCTTGTCCACGGCTGCTCCGATTGCATGGCTGACTGGTGTATGGCATGGTGTCTGTGTGTGTGTGTGATCAGGTCTCGAATAACCTGGACAGACGCGGGGAGGAGCTGAGGGTGCCTTGTTCACTCGCGAGCCAGCATGGGCTTGGTTACCGTGAAGCATCGGCTTCCTCTTGCGAAGTTGTCTGCGATGCAGGTGCTGCTTCCACCCGCCAGATGGGAATCACGAGTTTCGCTGTGCACGCGCCTTAATTCGAGTCCACGCTGGTTGTATGTGCGCCGCCAGAACGTGCTTTACTAGCCGGTGTGAGCTCCAGAGGCTCTTTCGGAATAGCCTGGACGACTTTCACTGCGGTTTGGACAGCAGCGGCGATTGCCGCTAGTGCTTCGTTTGTGGCGCTTCGTTTATGGTATCACCGTGTCGGATTGCAGAGCTTCTGACGTCTCTGTATCTTCCCGTCCCTTCCCGTCCGGACGGCCGGCACTGGAATGCTGAAGGATGTCCCCCGAAAACCCTTCAAATCAACTGCACGTCTGCCAGTCTAGCCTGCGCTATTTTTATCTAAAATCACGACCTTCACTACACAGAAGGGGCTTGGCGCAAAAAGCAGCAAAAAGCAGCCAAAGCAGAAGAGATGGCCAAGTGATCCGACAAGCTTGGCTCACGACCACGCTGGCTTGTCAACAGTACTCTGACTTACCTTTATGCGAGCATCTGCAAGCCGCAGGAACCAGCTGGTTCCCAGTCCAAGACAAGATTGAGACATTGAGGAGCGGCTGGCTTTTGCATGTGCCGGGCAGTTCCAGCGTGAGCGCGGAAGTCAGGATTGGAACGGGAGGTTTCGGCCTGAGAACGTTAGGGCAAAGTCTGATGAATGGAAGCTTGCGAAGCGTTGGAATGAGGAGTCACGGGTTTCAATGCTTTGGGGAAAAAGCGTGCGCGAGGAACAAGGGCGGCAAAGATGCTCAGATGATCTCAGATCTTACTTAAGGTAGTTGTGGTTGCAGACCTCTGCGAGATGGCTTTCCCTTGCTCAGAAGCCTCGTTTCTTGCCGCTGAGTCTGAGTGGTGGAAAGAATGGTATTTTTGGGGAGATGAGCGGCATCTTGTGCCCCACGTACGGCGAGTCATACTGCGTATTCGATATGACTCTGAGATTCCTCTTTGAAGCCATTTTGTCAGTCCCTCAGTTTCTCATTCAGTTTGCCGTCCGATCATCTTCCATTCGGTTCATCATCTTCCATCGCCTCGAATCAATGTGTGAGCGGTGGAAGTCGTTACCGGAGTAGTGTCTTCCGAACAGAAACAACCATGTATGTCTTCCGCCGTAGCCGCATCCAAGCTTCAAGCAACAGCTACGCATCAAGACACAAGCAAGATCAGGAAGACTAAGAAGCATGACCATGCACAAGAAGGGGCATAAATAGGACATACAGCATCACATCAAGGCCGCAATAAGAATGACCAAAGGCAGGGTCCAACGGCACAAGCCGCGGTTTCGCCATGCAATGCAGCAGCCTCAGCAAAAAACCCGGCTGCTACTAGACCAGCATGCGATCCTGAATGCCATCAGGACCCAAATCACCTTGGAAGCCCTCTCCGGAAGAACGGCGCAGATCAAGGCAACCAAGTGAGCGGCAGCCTCGGAAAAAGAACGAGCATTGCACAATCGTGCATAGGTCCTGTACGACGCGACAATCAACGATGTCGCCGTTAAAACCCCGAAGCTGCTCGGCGGGAGCCTTGGCGAGCCCGCGTCAATTTTCCGAGAAGGTGACCATCTGAGCAGGTCTAGACAAGGCGAGCAGGGTTGTGTTGGTGGACAAGACCA